ACCACTACCACTACCACTACTAGTAGTAGTACTAGTTCTAGTACTACCGCTCCTCCTTCTGCTCCTCCTCCTCCTCCAACTACTCCAACTACTCCAACTACTCCTACTACTCCTACTACTCCTACTACTCCTACTACTCCTACTACTCCTACTACTCCTACTACTCCTACTCCTACTCCTACTAATCCGACTCCGACTCCTACTCCTACTCCTGCTCCTACTACTTCTGCTCCTACTACTCCTACTCTTGCTACTCCTACTCTTACTCCTACCGCCACCATCACCACCACCACCACCAACCACCACCATCACCGACCATCACCAACACCACCGCCGCCTCCACGAAGACGACGACGACGACGACGACGACTACTACTACTACGACTACTACTACTACTACTACTACTACTACCACCACCCTACTTCTTCTTCTTCTGATGCGTTTACGAGTACAACTACTGCTTCTGCTGCTGCCGCTGCTGCTGCCATTGCTTCTTTTTCTACTCCTGCTACTTCCATGACTCGAACCAGTACTAGCACTAGCACTTGTATTCTTATCAGTACTAGTACCAGTAAAAGTACTAATACCAGTACCGATACTAACACTACTAGTACTAGTACTAATCTACCCCTACTCCTACTCCTACTCCTGTTGGAAATGCATATACTGTTTTTCCCACCTGCCCAGCTGACTAAGTCTTCTGACCTTGAGGCCTTCGGTCTGGCGCTTGCATTATTGTGGTTGGGGGCCTTCGGGGGTTGTAGTAGCGTCAAGGCACTGTAGAGCGGACTGGGTAGTAGCCAGACTACGGCTACGGAATATGAGTAGTGCGCCGAACACTAACCATACAAATGCTGTTGGTGACGCTAGTGATATGAAACGTCTTAATATACGAAGGCTATGAGTACTACCAACCAGACTAAGACTATCAATGAGACAACAACTGGTAATATGACTACACACCAAGCCAGTAGCACTAACAGTATTAGCTCCCTGCGGTGCGTCGTTCACTTCAGGGAAACTGTTTTTTCACCTTGGGCCCGAGCCGCCAGCATAATGACCGCATACACAGGAAGCCATCTGCGCTTGTAAGGCCTCCAATCTCGACCGCTTCAGTGGCGATCTGAAGGGATGCGTACGTTGTTTCATAAAACTCCTGGGGCGTGTGAAAGGAGTCTTTCGTCTGTAGAGTTCGAAAGAACCTAGAGCTTCGAGTCACGCCATGCTTTCCCGATATCGCCTTCAACCTGCATCAGGAAGGTTTGCCAGACGCATCCCCGACCCCTGAATCAGAACCCTATGAAGACTGTGTGACAGCTTGCTCAGAAAATTGAACCTCCCCCCTTTGCGTCGAATCCACACACGGAGAGATACGCAAAGGCACGGGCCAAGACTAAAATCATCAAGACGCACTACGCACACGAAGAACCCACCTGCCAGGTCGCGGGTACGGCTCCTCGGCTCTCGAGAATTCTGCAGAACTCGTACCAGGACTTGTTCACTTCCTGACCTGAACAGGCTAGAACCCAATTGATTTTACACGCTGTGAGTCCCAAACACACCTGGCCTGAAAGCTGATTCCTATACCAAGGCTGACATGGCATGAACAGTGGACCCCAAAACACCGGATTCCGAACCAAACCCCAAAGCAACGTGCGCTCAATGCAACTTCGAAACTGCGAGCGAAGAAAAACATATGATACTCCTGGCACATGTATCAACAACCATGATCACAATCATAATCAGACTCCTCATCATCATCATCATCATCACACCATCATCATAAGCAACAGACATAATCATAATCATCAAAGTTAGAATTAGAAGAAGCATATTTGTTAGCACGAGCTGGCATACATACAGGCCCCGCATCTTGATTGAGGACCAAGGTGCGGACTCAAGAGCCGTAGCCCGCACCCAAAACTCTCAAACCCAATCGGAGACCCGAGACCAAACAGCTTGGGAGGCCACCGCGTTTTTCGGCGTCAGGCCAGGGAGAGGCGGGGCTGCCTGATAGCGGAATGAATTGGGCTAAGGGGGACTTCGGGGCTCGGGCTTCGTATACAGATTGGGGTAGCGGGTGTAAAAAGAAGCAGGGTCGGTTAGCACAAGCGTGGGGCTGTGTGTAGGGGATAACCCTTCCAGGCTGCGCTTGCTGCTGACAATGTCGCAGGCAGGTCTACGCTCTCCCACTCGGGCTCGCCAGATGAGGGTCTTGGTTCGCACCTCGCTAGCACGAAACAGGTTGGCATAGGTCGGTGCATGGTTCACTCTTCGGCCTCACTGTCTGCACACCTTGTCAGGGTGCAGGTTGATGTCAAGCTCCGTAAGGAGTCGACAGTTCCTTGAAAGACCGACCATCTTTTTCCAGCCCTACAACAGGCCATTCAACGATGCTGCCCCAACCACCAAGAATCTTGCTTCGTCAGTTGGGACTCTGGACGCGACAAATGGATCTTCCCCTGCAAGGTGCCTATTTGGAGGTAACCCAAACGAGGAACATGAGCCTGAACCTCTAGACATCCCTAAACACCGACCCAAGGACCGAGTCTTCCATCGAAATGATCTCCGGGGCGATGGCATCGTCGACTTCAACCTGGCAGCGCTCACAGGCGAGGAAGATCTAGGCTTCCTCAGGCACTTGAGGTGCAGAATTTGTATTCTTTGATATTTATAAGGGCCCCAGAGAAAAGATCCGCGCAAGTCCATGGGCTGGGGTTTGGGATGTTTTGGCTTTGAGTGCTAGGACCTGGCTCCATCCTAATGCCCGGTGACCTTTCCTCTGCTCTGAATGATTCACACAACACAGCTATGGCCCATAGAGTTTTACGTTGGTTTCCAGAAGGCGGTCGGTCTGCCTTCACCTTGTTGGCTGGCAGAAGAGATCCCAGAAATTTCGCCACAGTCGCCACCTCAGAGCAGTCAGGTCAGCCTTCATCTTGTGATGAGTTGACAATACATGTGGATACCAAGTTCAGGGAACCACTTTAGATGCTGTGACCCCTCTCCGCACTCGAACACTTCAGCGGGCGCCCTTCTCCGTCTCGCACCGGCTCGCTTAGCACACAGCGAACAAAAAGGAAACTTCCAACATAGCAGGATCTCAGACCTCGAACTCTGACACGATGACGTGGGAGTTTGCATAACAGAAGGGACCCTAGCAGGGAAACCTAAATAATAGGACCCAGAAACCTAAACACCAGGATCCTGATTACGCTGTCGCCAAATAATGTTGCCCTCATCGAGGCTTGTTCGGGATTAGCACGACAACCCCAAGCCCGGGAATGTCCATGAAGGAAAACATGAAAAGGTCCAAGGCCTCCACGAACAGCAGCACATCATTGTTAAAGTTGCCGCCCGTCATGATCATCACAGGTAAGGGTGAGCGGGTCGAAAGAGTCTCCAAGAGATGCGAGGCCCTGCTTAGACCATGCCTACGCCTACGCGCCCTTCTTGGACCAAAGCCCGCCGAAGCTGGCGAGGAACCCTACCAAGGTTGCGTCCCAGGCCATCTGCAGGAGACCGCCGGCAAAGAGAAGCAGGATCAGGCCTAGGGCATTCAAGGGTCTTGTCTTCAGACTCTTGGGATTTGTTCATGCTTTCGCAGGACCCCAAGGGGTCAAAGTAATTCTGAGTGGGTTCGTCGACGAAACCATGGGATTGGTGGCAGCGTTTCACGAAGATGCAGTTTGCGGTTTCAACCTGTGGGTCTTGACCTGACGGAAAGTCGTTGGTCCTTTTATGGGTCTTCTGGATTGCACCAGGCATGATGTTGCCACTGCTTTTTGCTTTTGCAAGCGGCTGCTTCTACATTCATGGATAGGGCAGGTAATAGGAGGTGCACTGGAAGTGCTAAGGGTGACTTCAACCCTTTCAGATTTTGCACCAAGGCATTTCTGACTGTCAGGTTTCGGTCTGGAGGCGCTCCTTCATCAAAGTTCTTCGGCATTGGATGGCGTGGTGCGAAAATGGACTTCTGAACGGCGTCAATGTCATGTGCGTCAGGCGGTCTTCTCCGGCTTTCGGGTTTCGGCTTGCGAGGCGTACATTGGCGCGGGCTTTAGCATTCGGATGCACATCATGCATTGCCTACGACGGGATTTCCTTTGGTATACTGCCGGTTGATCATATGGAGTTTCCCTTACTGCCGCTACAAGGCGGTATATTAGCCTGCAAAAGCTGGATCTTTTGCTAAGAGGTTGACGAGCTCTTTCATCCGTGGAAAGAGAGGGTTCAGTCATAGGAGCGCCACATCTTTGTGGAGGTTGCAGACATAACTTACTTTACGTACGAGGTATCATGTGCCCCCATCGTACTGGTGAGGAAGACGTGGAAGCCCCACAGACTGTCTTCAAAACTCAGCTGACGCACAACCCTTCATGCCCCTGCGCAACTGCCGACCTCTATACACATATAGGTTGAAAATACCACAATCGCTCGCCTCGCAACCTTGGCCAAGGGAACATGCAAAGCGCGCGGCGAACAAACTCTGCACCAGTAATGGGCTCCTCTGGAATTCCAGCTGTATGACGCAGGAGTCTGCGCAACGCTAGCAGAATTGGGTGTCAGGTTTGCCCGATCTGTAAAGTTCGCAGGGTTGCAAGACTTTCATGTCGAACCACAAGCGTAGCGAGACTTATTAAGTATGACCGGTCAAAAAACTAGGAAGTCGCAAAGGCAGTCTTCCAAAAGTTCAGAAGGTCCAGAAGGTCAAGGTGCTTGCACACTTTCAGTTGCAGTTGCCATACAAATTGTTTGACATTTAGAAATATAGAATATAAGAACTACCTGCAAGCACGCAAGGTTTACAAGGCCGGTGCCTTCGGAAGTGGTGAGGGCAGCACAGGCTTTGGGGCACGCGGCCTCAAGCTCCCACCCCTCGGCGCAAGAACTGGGGCCCTTGCCGGCCCTTGCCATTTAGATTTAGAGAACTGAGATTCCTTCCAAAGCTCCATCGGTCAATCACCTCTTCCCCAGTGCACAAAGATGGATCCACATCTTGGCGCCCAATACAAAAAAGAACATGCAAACTCGAAGGGGCCCCGGAACTCGGGCTGACCACTGTCCTCCACCAGCGGCAACTTGATCTCAAAGCTTCAGAGATGTTCCGGGCTCAAGGGGCAGATGGGATACTTTGAAGAGTGCGGCTGCCGCTTCTGCCTCGAAAACTGCAATAGAGCACTCTTTCGAGCCTGACCCCGAAGCCAGACGCATGTTGTGCTTTCTACTTGTGGCCGTGGAAGCTTCGGCTCTGGGGAAGAAGGCTGCAATGATTAGAGGGCTCGGGGCAGCGGCTTTCATTGACTCAGGGTTGCACCGGGGCAACATTTGAAAACATCTCAGCCATCATGCAATAGCAGTCCTGCTGCCGAATCTGTCATTTCAACCAACGAAGTGGTACGCCTATGCTAAACTGTCTCCGCTCAATGTGTGGACACACCCCCTTTACAGCACCAGCACAGGCTTCTCAACCGAACGAAGACCAAGAACCATGATCTCCCAACCAAGCATGGTCCAATGGTCATGGTTCTTTCATTCCGTCCGGGGCTTCTGCCAGAGAAGGTGTGAAGAACACCGGGGCCTCGATTCAGGATGTCAGCTATCGTTGGCAACTTGCCGTTTCCCAGTATCGCCCTCGCACTCACCCGCGCCCTCGCCCTCACTCGTGGGCTGAACCCTTGTCCGTTGGTCTTTGGTCGCAATGAGTACCTACTGCAGCCAGCAGATCGCAACCATCTGCGAACACTCCGCAGACGCGCACCCGGTCGGCTCTCGTAACACTGAAGCGCTCCCTCTCTCTCTCTCTCTCT